AAGAAAACTGAATCTCCCTTTTTGAAGATGCCAAATTCATTCCGTTTTTTATTTTTTTTTCTAACTTTTTTGTTTCAGGCATTGCAGCAAAAATTGCTACGAAACGAAGCATTCGCGAGGCCATCGTAAAAAACGGAAGCCTTCGCAGTTGATCTTTACTTGCGAACCTGCAGGCCCCCTGACGCAGGGATATAACACTCGGCTTCGATCCGAAGGCATCCGAAGGCATGAATCCTCGAAAGATCAAGATTATTCTCTCGTTATTGACTACAGTTCGGCTTTTAACACTCTGAAAACATCTTCGATAAATTAAACGAAGAGATGAAAATTCCACGTGGTCTCACCAGTAACGGAACGGGTCATTTCATAAACGAATTGAATAGATAAAATTCTGTATGAAAGCATGCGTTTACCCAATACAAAGACAAGTAGTATGAAAACCTTTTTGGGGCACGGACACGCCTTGCGTGTCCGTGTCCCTAGTCGATAGGAACTATACCCGCTTATTTATTCGAGGATTCTTTTTTTTTTTTAGTCGACCATGAAAGTTTTACGAGTTGGTACCAGTGTAGTGTGATGCAGGGTAGAGAATGAAGACACAGCTTTGAACAAGTTTGCATCTCTTCAAATCAGATCATAAAATCACGAGATGGAATCATGAGAATAAAAAAGGAAGAGGCATACCTCATAGTAAAATAAGACCCATTTAAAGAACTTTTTTCCCTCGGCATTACAAACAGCAAGCCAGCAGCAGCAATGGATCAACAAAATTTTTGGGATAGATACACACATGCTACACAGTGATTTACCTGTACAAACCATTAACAGGTTGCACTTTATTTTACCAGCTTAATAAAGCTATTAAGCTTTATTTCACCAGACCTCATGTGGACCTTTCTCGAGCATGTGGCAATTATTCGGCAGGGAGTCCGAGATGTGCAAGCAACGATGAGAAAGAGGTCAGGGAACTTTCATAGAGGAAACGAATCGACAAAATCGAGAGTTCTGTTAGTCGCCGCAAAAGGTGAATGAAAAGTACGCCTTTCCTCTGTCTCTCCTCAGTAGTAGGTCTCTCTCTCGACCCATCCGCCTGGGTTGCGGCGGATCAGGTACTTTCGAAGCTCGTCGTAAGCCAAGATGAAAACGGAGAAGGGTAAGGCAGGCAACCACCAAATGAATCTATCAGAAAAAAATAAAAAATTGTATCGTGAAAGAGAAGAGCAAATTGTGGGGAGATGTGGAGGACATACTTGAGCGGATGCATGTTGAATTTCTCCATGCCAGGTGCGTAACACATGAAAGCAGCCAATGCCGTCTCGAACACGAGAGCGAAGTTCATCACCCAATTCCTGAGAATAAGGCATACGGAAAATCTCTAAGCTCTACTTCGTCGGTTCCACGGGCTCCACGCTGACGGAAAGCGACTCACGTCATTCCTTGTTGTAATAAAGAGTTACGTCGTGTCTTCAAGATGATGAGATTCGCCCATTGCACGACCACAATTGCAACGAAGAAGCCTGTATAACACGTGTATTCCAAGCTTTTGCGGTCGTGGTACGTCTGTAGGGAAACCAGGAAGCACTTCCTTGATTTTTCCTAAAAGACAGGAGAATGTGAGTCGTGGACGGATGACTTACCCAATCTTGGCCAAACGAATCCTCGAGATCGTTGATGGCCTTGGAATCCCAATAACGACGGAGGCCGAACAGCTTGGAAGGCATGAATCCATTTTGTGCCATGATGATAAAATAAGTGAGGAATCCTGCTCCTACTTGGATAATCCCAATGTGGAAGTACGACATGCAAACCAATCTGTGAAAGATACATTTTTACTCGTACAAATCTGCTATTTGCAACACGAGCAACACATATTCCACCACATGCTCCAAAATTTCCTTTAAAATTGGTTTGGCACGGCGAATAAGAACGGACGGCAACAACCTCGTTATTTCAATTTGATAAAGTTATGACTTTGTTATAACAAATTGTTCAGTACCAACGTTTCACTAAGTTTCGAGACACTCGAAATTGGTCACTTTTCCATGCCATAAGGATGCACTTGTTGAAAAACGCAATCCGCATATTATCCGAGGATATGCCTATGAAATTGTAACTATTCAAATACTGAATCTCGCAATGCTTTGTTGCTTCCAAATTGACTGTTCTTTGGACTACAGTTATTTGGAGTTGTCTATTATAAAGCAACCGCAATACAGGACGTTCTGCAGTTAGATCCCTATTGAAGTGGTCCTGGGCGACGGAGACTGTCAAGACATGTAATGACTTGCAATGGCTTGGAATGCATAGCCGAGAACCAACCGAGCACGGAACCGAGCATCTGTAACATTTCCGAGGGACTTACCGGTCGGTCACCAAGTTGTCCGTGAAGGGATTCCTGGGCTGTCGTTGCATCAAGTCTGGCTCGGCCTTTTCGTAGGCAAGTGCGACGGATGGAAGCTAGACGATGCAAAATTTCCACTTTAAAATCAAGATTAAAAAAGCACTTGTTCAGTTTATTTATTAAAAATTACATCTGCATTAAATTTTTTTGGAGCCAGTGAAACTCCACTCCACTCCACTCAAGTTCTTACCCCAGACGAAAAATAAGGCGAAAGGACGAGGAATGATGGTGGTGGGCAGGTAGGAACTCAAATGCATAACCACTAAATCCCACACCTCCTGTACGGCCTAACCACATGAAAGGAGGCTGAACCAAACGTGAGCACTGATCGGATTAATGTGCAAGACATGAATACCTTTTACTTTAACTCGTCTAGTCTAGCAGTCCTTGTGTGCGAGTCATCCGCACTGATGGTCATTGTTGCCAGTAAAGAGTCTCCTCTATACGAACTTTGTGCTTATCGAAAAAGCGGCAAGGATGAAGAACGCAGACTAGAATCTCGTTGGTCGAGATAGCCGCCATATTGGCACCAGAAGGCGAAACTGTACTCGTGTTCGACTGCTCTTTAGCAGCACAGAACTCTCAAAGCCGTGAAATCGCCGCGTCAGACTTCGTCGTTGGGGCCCACCGAAGATCGCAAAATGATGGCGGAACGAAATTGCCGAGCGTTTGGCTAGCTTAAGGCTCGGTTTTCGGTCGCATCCAGGACACACCTTAAATGCGAAAGGTGGGGCTAGTTCTGGGATTCTGCAATGCCATTCGTTAGGGGCTCCTACCACTGATATCGCTTTCTGAAAACGCAGAAATATATCCCTATTTTTAAATCACGCCGAGTCGGCGACGGGCGACTAGCAATCAGGACCGTGTGAGTTCCAAAAGTTCCAAAAAAATTTTAAAAAGCCAAAGTGCGTCGGTTAAAACATTTCCAAGGTATTTAGGCGAATCTACCGCCCCTCACCCCAAATGCAATGATTGCGCCGGTTCCCGGAAATCATTCCCTTAAATTCGTACTCTTTTTACTTCCGAGTCAATAAAATATTTCCAAATAAAAAAGGGGGGACACACAACTCCGTCCTATTCAAAAGCACAATAAAACGAAATACCGAGATACAAGAGATTCAACTTCAGCGGCCTCCACTTAAAAAGAAAATGGTCATTATCTCAGACTCGAAGAAACAAAGTAGGAACTCACCAAATCAGTCCCCAAGTCGATGCACAGGATGGTGATAGTCCCGAGAGGCAGCGGCACGGAAGCAACGATAAAAAGCAAGAACGGCGCAAGCTCGGGAATATTTTTCGTTAGGGTATATGCAACCGTTTTCTTCATGTTGTCGAAGATCACCCGACCTTCCTCCACTCCCGTCACGATGGAGGCAAAATTGTCATCCAACAGGATCATGTCGGCTGCTTGCTTCGATACGTCCGATCCAGTAATACCCATGGCCACCCCTACAGAGAAGGAGTCCGACATGAGAAAAGGAAACCCTTTCAAGCGCGCGTCACGAACAACAGTTACTTTTTCTACAGAGAGTGTAAGGTTGTAAAGGTTATAATATACAGCATGGTCAATCCCATCCCATCCCATCCCACCCCATCCTATCCTATATAAATACAAATACCAATATCCAAGACAAATAAGGACATCGAAACAAAAATAAAGGGTACATAATTGTTATGCTATGTCTCAATGTCACTGTCCAATTCGGCGTCGATATTTTTATTTAAGACGTCCAAATTTCTCGGTGGGCATACCGTGGCTTATTGCAGCAGTATACAGGTGAAACCAACGCCAGGAGTGTACTAAGTTTCAAACTCCCGTAAAAAAAAAAACCAACGAAGAAAGCGAGTCCTGATTGTCGTGTCGAGCTAAAGTACATCGATATAATGCCACTCGATTGAAAGCAAGGGGATTCATTCCCCTCAACTCAAATGGATGGATTCGGTAGACGTGTCTTAGGAATAATACCGCGATCGAAGTTGCTGGGAGGACTCAAACTATGGATTTCAAAGAAGCATCATGGAAAAGAAACCATCTTATTGTATATGGCCACACGTTCCATATCGTTATTGAGTGCTCAGGCTCATCGATCAGAGGGCACGGTCAAGGCGCAAGTGTACCAACAAATGCCGCATTTTGTCCTTTAGTCCGGATTAAATACACTCCTGCGAGTTCCAGGAAGGTTATGGCGCCATGGCAGCAGGATGAGGTGGTAGCGATAATGCCGGAAAAGGTAGAAGGGAGCCGGTATGATTCTCAAAATACCGGTATGCCGCAACGCCCTATTTGTTTTTGAGGAAATGAAAAATATTTTACAGAATGGAGACCACAAGGACCATACCGGAGAGTTCCAGTGAAATAAATGGAGGTTTCAACAGTGCCGAGAATTACATTATCTTCCGACTATTTGTCAATCATCATGGTCGTCACATTGCCCCGCATTCCCTTCTTTCCCGTACTCAAAATAATGCATGCATGATTCAAACATACCAATGTCAGCTTTCTTGAGGGCGGGCGAATCGTTGACTCCATCGCCGGTCACAGCCACGATGGCGCCCAGACGCTGGCAACCTTCCACGATGGTCAGCTTCTGCTGGGGCGAGGTGCGGGCGAACACGATTTCGGAATGGTTCCTGAGGGGAGACGACACCGTGGTTATCTTTGGTGGATTTGAAGCTTCATTGGAAGCAAACAGGGTATTTGAGGAAAAAAAGGCCAATACCGTAAAACATCCTCAAGCATGGCTGGTGTCATTTCCCTGAGTTCGGAACCACAGACAACGCAGGCCCTGGCTAGTGCCGGATCCACTTCAATTGGTTCAATGTTCAGACGATTCGCTATGTCTACCACGGTTTCGCTGCCTGCCATCATAACCACATGTTAAGCCCAACCAAAAGCCATTTCCAAGGATTCCAATCAAATTCTTATTTTAAAAGGTTAAAGCTAAATCAAAGGTGGAGATGGAACCCCATGAGGGGTAAAAGAAAAGGATCAGAGATTGCATGGAAAGTATTTCGTTTCGAGTCAATCCACATTTTCGCAATAAGAGTATCGGAATGGATTCAAGCACTAATCGGTTTCAAAGCTACTGTAATCGTATGAATTCAGGAGTTGGTTGGTATGACTGAGCCCCCTCTCCGAACCAGATCCCCCTACCAGAACCGAACCAGATTTCATTCCCTGCTTCATCAAACATTTTTGGTACATATTGCAATCGGGCAGGACAGTAGGAACGGCTCATAACTAACTCACTCAATATTATTTGCATTATCCGCAGCACTGCTTTCATTAATTCGCTTACCTCTTTGGAGAAAAAAAGGAAGCATATAAAATATGCTGAAAGTGAGCTAAAAAGGTTTCATTACATGCTACACACCAAAATTTTTTATTAGCATTATAACTCTCGAAGCATTACTTAATCAAGTAATAAACTGACGAAATTTTGCCGTTGTATTTACCACCATGACCGAACATACCGCTAGAGGAACATTCAAAGAGAGGGCTAACAGAGGCACCATGCTCAAAAAAAATTGCCGTTTGAAAGGGGTCTGGATCAAATTATAGGCACTACTATGCATATTGATTCGATTAAATCTAGTCATCCTCAGATTGCGTAGGGAACATACCCTCCGAGATGATGCCAACAGATCTGGCAATTGCCTTGGCCGTGATGGGATGATCCCCAGTGACCATGATGACCTTGATCCCGGCCGATCGACACTTGGCCACGGCCTCGGGAACAGCAGCTCGAGGCGGATCGATCATGGACACGAGACCGACGAATCGCAGTCCATTCAGAGGGAAGTTCTGCTCCTCCGCATCGAACTTATAGCCAGGAGGGAACTTGCTCACAGGGAGTCTGCAGTCGCAAAATCCGAGAACACGCTCCCCAAGACTTCCAAGCTCCATGTAGGCGGCATTAAAGTCATCCTTCCAGTGACCATCCATGGGGTACTCTTGGCCCTTCACGAAGATGCTGGAACAACGTTCCAGGATACGTTCGGGGGCTCCTTTCATCACCAGCAAGTATGATAATCGACCATCGATGTCCTTTTTCTCATGGATACTCACCTGAAAACAGAAAAATTCCTGTAATGCAATACGATGACAAATTTTCCAAGATACATGCAGCACAAGCTTGCTTTTCAGAATTAATGGAGTCATGACATCCTTCGAAGAGGTTTCACGTCTTTACCCCCCTTGATGTTACAACGGCCCCAACAGGCAGTATGCTATGGGAACATAATTTGCCTTCCAAGTTGAGGTAGTTGTGATAGCTTGACACCATCTCAAATATAAATTTTGTGATATTCCTCCATAACTTGCATTTTGTATTAGATGCTAAGCCATTAGTTGGGAATGTCTTTCCACCAAACCAGAGTGAGTAAAAATTCAAAAGTATGTGGGAGATACTGAAATTCGGTTATCAAAGACAATAAATTATTTGTCTAAGGGTAAATGTTCAAGAAAAAGCCAACCCACAGATGAGAACAAAAAATTATGCGTGACGACGTAAACGCAAAACCCAGATATTCAATCATCCATGGACCAACACAAAAAAAAAGTGGTGGAAATGCTACGGCGAAGAAGCAGGGAGAACGCTTAATGTCAGTGAGGGATGCCACCTAAGGTTTAGGATCACTGTCTCTGTTCACTCGCTTTTTTGGTAATCACCCGAGACCGGTTGAAGGGAATGGGACAGAAAAAGACAGCATATGCTTCAAAGTCACCATTCAGACATGTGGATCTGACACCCGAGATGTTCAAGTCGACGAAAGAACAGATCGTGTTAGCTTACTTGGTACTTATTGGTCGAGTTGAAGGGGATCTCGCAGACCTTCTTGTGTTTCTTTCACATCGGAAGTTACAAAGGCTACCGGTAGAGCTGTGTAAACTCCTCTCGTCGGAGACTTCGTAGAGGGCAGTGAAGAGACTTAGGGTATGCTTGTAAAATTAAGAGAGGGTGCTTTCGCTACGTCCTTTTAAGGAACGTGAAAGGCAATGCAAACCTCTTGAGGATGGGGACGTCGTCCTGACTGCCTTTAAAGACAGCTCGGTTGCACAGAGCAGCAACTCGAGCAAGGGCACCCCAGCCAGGCCCATCCTTGTCGTACGTCACACCTGGAATTATGCAAACCTCTTGAGGATGGGGACGTCGTCCTGACTGCCTTTAAAGACAGCTCGGTTGCACAGAGCAGCAACTCGAGCAAGGGCACCCCAGCCAGGCCCATCCTTGTCGTACGTCACACCTGGAATGAGGAACATGGGGAACGATTACTCATATGTCCGTTTGCAACTCCGAGTTGCAAATAGACAGACGGGTCGTCTCAGATGATGGCAGTAAGGTAAACCTGATTGGTCCTCTGTTGTGTCAGCCTCAATGATCTGGTCGTCAAACCACATGTGAGCTACAGTCATTCGGTTCTGAGTCAGAGTTCCAGTCTTATCGCAACAGATGGTTGATGTGGAACCCAATGTTTCTACGGCCTCCAGGTGCTTTACTAAACAGTTCTTGGCTGCCATTCGCTTGGCTGTCAACGTTAGACTCACCTACAGGGAGAATACAATTTTTTTTTTCCTCAAATTTAAACATTGGAATTGAAATATTGTACATCCAGGAATGGATAAGCAGGATGACTCACTGTGATAGTGGCAAGCAGACCCTCAGGAACCATGGCGACAATGATCCCCACCAGAAAGACTGCAGATTCTAGCCAGTTGTAGCCCATGACGGAAGCGACGAAGAAGAAGGTCACACCCAGAAACACGGCCACTGTAGTGACGATGCGAACAAAACGAACGATTTCCTTGGCAATTGGGGTCTCTCTACAGTTCAAATCCGACGCCAGACCAGCGATTCGACCCATCACAGTGTCATCTCCCGTCAGGATTACAATGCCTTTGGCATTACCTGAAAGGAATGCGAGAAGAATACAACACGAGTTCGAGAATGGTCTCCAGTTAGGAACGAATGCTTAAGCAAACAAAAACTGATCGTGTACCTTCCACAGCATAGGTGGAGAAGAAAGCTAAATTACTAGCCTCCAGAGGGTTAGGCTGAGAGCAGTTAGGGTAGCGAGACTGAGGCTTAGATTCTCCCGTCAATGAAGAGTTGTCCACCTTGAATCCCGAAGCTTCGATGATTCGAATGTCGGCAGGGATACGGTCACCGGATTTCACATCTACAATGTCTCCAACGACAAGATCCTCTGATCGCTTTGTCAGAACCTGGTCCCCGCGACGGACGACGGCAAACTGGAAGGGTGTCAATCCACGACAGTGAAATCCTTCACATGACCCTAAAATAGCAGGAATTAAGAAACGGGAAAAAGCTCACCTGTGGGACCATTTTCTTGAAAGATTCCATGATACGAGAGCTTGTTGCTTCCTGATAGTATGAGAAAGCTCCGGTGATGAGAACAACAGCGGCCAACGCAATCCCAAGGAACAACTGAAACATCCGAAGGATCAGGTTGGGTGTCGTCGAAGAAGCGCCAAGAAATAGGAGGGGAAAATAAATAAAAGCATACATTATCATCAGGAGGCGCGTCAGTGATAGCAGCCTGAATGGCATAGGTTATGAAGCAGAGAATGGCTCCAATGGCCAGCAAGAGGGAAAACCCTCCCAAGAGTTGCTTGCAAAACTTGACCCACTCGGGGATGGCAGCTGGAGGAGTTAAGGTGTTGGGTCCGTCTCTTTCCAAGCGGCGCGTTGCTTCCGCCTCGCTCAAACCCTATTATTCAATGATAGTGAAGACTCCATTTGTGTAGCCCAAGACGTGGTCAATATAATAGCTAGAGCTGCAAAAATAGTCTGGAATCTGCATAGTGTACAGTCGGATACAAGAGCGCGCTTAGTCTAGAATGGAAATTCGCAAATGGTAATGGCAATCATTAGTAAAGCTGCGATTGAAACTGGTAGCAGATTCTCGTAACTCATTCCATTTACATGGACCGCCTTCAAGTGGCACCTGATTCTGTCTTGAAAATAATTCCCAGTTTAAATATATGAGGCGAAGCTCATTCGTGCAAGTTATAGTAATCAAGGGTTTTGCAGCAATTTTACCATCCAAATGATTCCAGCCCGTCTTACAAGAGCGCTTAACCGTGTTTCGACAACGAAAATGCAATGCATCAGTATTGTAAATATGAAGCTCACAGGAGCTTGATATACATATACTTGATACCGACAATTGAATTGGGAGGAAGAATGTAATGGGGTGTCGTATTTCATTTTTATTAATAATTTATACACTCTTGCCGTTTCCATTTCAGTGTATATACAAACGCAAGATTTCTTATGAAATATAACATGTGCAAATTTTATTTTGGCGGTTATTTAATGCATACATTTTGCAGCACACCGACGAGTATGTCAAGGGACGTCGAGCCTCACATCTTTCAAAATCGGCTTTAGCTCTATTAGCAAAGCATGGATGCACTTGCAATCACTGCTAAAAGCAACTATGAAGCTTTAGCTATTAAAATACTCAAATTTCATCTAACTACTTTTACTGTCGGACTTCGGCCGACAAAAAAAAAAACAATTCAACTAGAATTTGTCTGAATTGAGGAGTTACCTTTCTTTGGTCTACTTGCAATAGGATAAAGGTAACTGAAGGTGACTGAGATGTGTACGAGTTCCTTTTCCAAAACTCGTTAACTTTCAGTTGCGATTCAGTTCGAGACTGAGAAAACCAGAAAACACTCCGTTTGAGAATTTATAGAAAAAAAATTCGTTCTGAAAACGTGACTGACGTCAAAGCGCTGAAACTAAATTTAAAAAAAATTGTTAGGCTGCTTAATAATAAAATAAAAAATAAAGTGTTGCATACTCACCGTTTGGATGTCGACATCGAGCCTTGCCGCCAATTCTTCAAGCGAGATCAGATGATCATCGATGTCCAGCTCTTCCTTCAGCTCGTCCAAACTGCGACGGGCGGCGGGCGTTTTGCTGCATCGCCTCGACTGCAAAGTGACAGTGAGGCTGTCGCGTTTCGATCAGAAAAAAATTTGCAAAAAGCTCCAAGATTGCAGTCTTTTGAGTCGAAGCGCTGCCCGTTCGCCCTTAATTAGCAGCGCTAATTAATTAGCGTTTTCGACCGAGGCCATCCGCCATCTCGGTGTTGGACCATGGCAAACTGGCATGCTTGGAGTCGCGATTGCTTGTTCGCTGCGACTTTTGACACTTTTAAACTAGGAAAAATTACAGTATTGCAATTTGAAGCTTTGAAGCGTTTAGTGCATCGAGTTCGCTCGATATCAAATGGAGAAAACTAAAATTGCCCCTATTTCCAAAGCACTATGCAGTTTCCCCGTGAAATTTTGCTTCAATCCTCACATTCCCAGTGAATATATAGAAATATAGAAAATAGAATATATAGAAAAGACGAAGCACCAGTAGGAAGGGAAGGAATACCTGTCGCCTCTCGTTCGCTGTTCTGCTCCCTGGCTCCCGGGGTAGGATCACGCGCTCCGACTTCCGGCGCTGGAAATGGTTGGTTAATTTCTGAAATTCGCTCTGAAACGACTCGACGTACGACCGACCTCGCCGGATTTGGCGGGTACCTTAAAGTTGTTATCAGTTCCTTCTGGTAAGACGGAATTTATTCCAATAGAATTTTAATTTTCTACGGACGCTTTCGCTGGCCGCTAGAAGAACCAGGAAAAGATGGGCAAAGCAATGAAAGGCTGAGAAAAAAAAAAAGGTTCAAAGGGTCAAGGTCGAGTCAGTAGCCAAACCGAAACTCGGCAAGGGTCAAGTAAGGTCAATGAATAGCAGAAAACGTAACTTACCTTGAAAGTCCCGCTTTCCTGACACGCAAGCGCTTCGATTTGTTCGAGGCTATAATTGCCCTTCCAAGAGGGTAAATATATTCCATTCGACACAATGTTGCCCATGGTGAATTGGGGGAATTCGCACTTTTCCGCGAACGGCTGGTCGACGATGCAAAGTCAGAATTCCTTCGAGAGTCTCTCCGGTCCTCTTGGATTCGTCTTTTCGTTTGTACTGGGGAGGTTACTTCTTAGTACTTCTAAAGGACGATGGCACTAAACGACGGTCATCACTCGTACCGGGGAAGAGAGCTAAAAGTGTCCGTGAAGACGAATAAAACTAATCACTCGGTCGCGACCGGGTTCTCGAATGCCATCTGACCGCCTCCGAGACGGGAAGCCCAGGCTTCGTTTGTTGGAACAAAAGTCGGTCGGAAGGGAAAAGGCTGGGGGGGCATAACCCCTTGCATAACCACAAGTCCTCGGCGGGATCGACCACCATAGGGATGAGTACCTTCCGGCTGAAAATAAGTACCGGTATCTGATGAAAACTGGGAAGGTGTCAGTGCACTGAAACGGCACGAGTCTTTTATTCCTTTTTTTTTACACTTTCACTGGTGCTTTAAAACTGCAACTCGAACGGAATCTGGTGAGAAAGAGATTCATTTCAATCAATCGCGATCAGGTTTCTTATAATATTTAATTCCTAATAAATTAATCATTAACTCCCTATCGAAGACTCCTCGCATGGCAGCTACACGAAGAAGCCGAATCTTAGAAGCTTCTATGTTTATGACATTCCCTCCCGAAAGCACTTGTAAACTGCATGTGCAGAGTAGAAAGAAGTAGTAAGCTTGATCCCGTGGCAAATCCCTTTAAGGCTACACCGATCTACGACCAAAAGCAGGTGACAGGCTCCCTAGTAAACGCTATCGCGTACAGCCCACTTCTCTATGAACGTGAGGGGGGGGGGGGGGGAAACCGCTTTCCGTTGGCGTGAACCCTCGGGGTAAAAGGGTGGATCGGCCCCTCCCCCCCGAAACGGCCTCGTATATCTTGAAACCGGTTACGTGGCCCTTGCCCCGGAGCCGTGGCGGGTCGACCCGCTTTTTTGCTGCGGGGCGAAGGCGGTTGGTCTCGGGGCCGTGTGATTAAGGCTTGAATATTTTCAACCTAGCTGGAATTTTCGAAAGGGTAGACCTCCCGTACTTTTTTGGTAAATTTTTATCCCAGGAGTATAAATAATATAATAAATATCTCTGGATCAGCCAGCATCCCTGCCACCCTATCTCCCTCTCTTACTCTCCCAAGAACGTCTTTTAATTACCTCTTCTCAAGCTTGTCAACGACGGCAAGTACTATCTTGATGGAATGCCAAGACCGGTTATAAAATATTTGTCGGTTTTGCATCTGCTGCAATCGTAGTGCAGTCTCATTTCGTCGCGTTTCTGGGTGAAACATCTCCATCGCCGCTCTATATCTACGGTTCGACGGGATCCGATGGATTCCCATCCCCTCCAGCGATTTCTCGAAGGGGGAAAGAAATGCACACCAGGCAATAGAGTTCCGAGGCGGAACCGAATAACGGAAACCTCTTCGCCGTCGACGATAAGCCGTTTCTGCCTCGGCTCGTCCTCGACATGGAGTCAGGACTGTTAAGCAATTAACTCGGACTCTTAAACAATCGACAACGATCCAATGATAGTTCAAATTCATGTTAAACTAAAACTGTCAAAGCATTTCAAAAATAAAAATCCGACATGGCTTCAGTTGAACGCGACAACGAACGAACGGAAGGAAAAAAAAAGAGAGACACAGAGTGAACCACAACCAGTAAGAAGTTCCGAGGAGAACTGCCACAACTTACAGACGCTGCCAAATCACAAGCAGAGGCCCTCGAGCCTGCGAATGACGTCACCGCCCGCGAGTGCCTCCCCTCGCACGTGAGAAACGAAAGGAGGCCAGAGAGGTTATGGGCGGAACGCGGCCGCCGCGTTGCAGCGGTCGCTCCATCCCTCCGTACCCCCTGACCCCTCGCTCGACTGGCGGGCTGAGGGGGTAGCGGGGGTGGAGGGGGATCGCCCTTGAGGCTGGGAGCGGGGCCGACAGTGTTTTCCAGCTGATTCCATTTCGTTTCCTTTCATGTTTAGGAAGTGTTCCACGGTTAATACAGGGTGCTGCAATATCATGTAATGCTTCCGCGCAGCTCAATTTTTTTATATGAAAAAAAGTGCGCAACTGTTTCAAGCGTCGTTCGGTCAAAGATAATTTGTCTCAAAGAAATGCACCGGTTTCTTTATTTCGTGATTTGTCCGTCTGGTATGGGAGGTGCCGGCTTTTCTGTCGGAGCCTCGCGTTTACTGTTTCCAAATGAATAAGAAAAGTTCCTGCAACGTTTTGAAAAATTTTCACTCGCTTTTCCCCCACTTTTCCACTTTCCCCACCCACTTTTCGCAATAACTCGTTGATCGCCTTGGCAAGTTCCAACATGGCTGAGTCAGCGAGCCTAGTGAAATTGGTATTGGTCTTCCTCGTTTGTAAATACGATGGCTGTGCAATTGTTTAAGTGCCGCGGATGCGGGCTATGCGAGCGGATTCGAGATTTGCAGAAACCGAGAATCAGTCTGACAGCATTGTGATCAGACGAAGCATTTTAGCTTCTGGCTTCCAGAGCAAAAAAAAAAAATTCCTTAACGGCACAACGTCGCCATGGTCGCAGAAAATTTTGCCACTTATGTATTAATTTTATGTGCCGATAAGCAAAACATGGAAGGGCCATTTCAGATTCAAACCCGGATTCTCCAAGCACTTATTAAGCATGGCTTCCAAGCATTAACGCCCGTCTCGTTTTCTCGTTGAACAGACAACTACAAATATCACTCCGGATTTCACATCCGACTTCCTGGCCGAATGAATCCTCGAGGTCGTTGATGGCCTGGGAATCCTAATGACGACGGAGTTCAATCAGTTTGGGCATGAATCCATTTTGTGCCATGACCATAAAAATACGAGAGGAATCCTGCTCATACATGAATGATCCCGATGTACGACATGCAAACCAGTCTGTGAAAAAAAAAATTCATCATTTTTTGTTCAAATCAGATATCTGCAGCATGAAGAGCACAAAGTCCTATATACTTCAATTTATATCTTTAAATTGGCTTGGCGATGAAGAATTGAGACTTTTTTGTCGTTCAAAATTACTGCAAGTCATTACCAACGTAATGCAGCCAGTCTGGAATTAAAATAAATTCTCAGCTTAAAGTGGTTTTCGAGCGCAACCGCAGAACTACGTTGAAAGAGTTGCAATTTCAAATTTCTCGAAGAATATTTGATAACTTTTTTGAAAAGCGAAAGTAATGAAAGTAATCAAAGAAAGGCGAGTTAGATTTCGAGCAAATTTGACCAGTTTTGTAACGATGGCAATATAGCAACTCGAAATTGTCTCTTTTTCGCCATAACACTGCAGATCCTTTCACATATTAGTCCGACTCGGCAACATCGCAACATTTAAAAAAGGCGACCCCCTGGCGACCCGAGGAGGCTGGACAGGCCACTGTTCAAATGCTCGCAATGCTCAATTTGGTTTGCCTCCAAATTTAATTGGATCGAACGTAGCCATAACCACAGCAGTTTGGAATCGTAAGAAGCGACAGCAATGCAGTCGGCAATCCGTCACCCAGCACCTCCTTGTAATTGCCAAGACGTATAACTTGCGTACTTGGAATCCGTACACGAAGAAAACATTGGCAATGGATACACGTTAAGCAGACCAGCGGATTCTCCTTCACCTCTGGCACACGGCACACCTCCGGCACACCTCCGGCACACGGCACACCTCCGGCACACGGCACACCTCCGGCATCGATTACCGTTCGAGTCGAGCCGACGAAGCAGATAGGCACTTCATGAAAGCTGTTTAGTGGTTCAATGCATAATCAATGTGTAAGATTCTCCTCGGGGACTCACCGATCGGTCACCAAGTTGTCCGCGAAGGGATTCCCCGGCCGTCGTCGCATCAGGTCTGGCTCGGCCTTTTCCGACGGATGGAAGCTAGACGGTGCAAAATCTCCATTTCAAAATGAAAACTTGTAATTAAAAATGAATTAATAATATTTATGTCTTACGCTGTCACACCTAGCACTACTCATGCTAGCAATCTTGCAAAAGCTAAGGCAGCTTAAATCCTAAGTCTCCCGTCCTGCTGGACCACGTGAAAGAAGGCTGGACCAAACGTGGGCCACGTGGGATTCATAGCCACGAATGCATGAATTCATGCAACATCTGCAAGATGTTGCATTCGTACTCATTATGCATGTACTCATTTCTCCAATTACTCTGAGCAATCCTCGTTCCGCGTGCGGACGATCCAC